AGCAGAGTGAGATGAGGGGGGGGTCTTCTAGGCACGTGACTACCACCTGTTAAGGGTGACTCGTATCAACAACACCATCAGGTATCCGATTCTGTTCTGCACTGAACGCATTCAACTTGATGAAAAGAGCAACCAGCTAAGGAAGATTTCTAAGATGTTAGCCTGACCAGACACACCTGATTCCTCATTCCAATCCTCTGACTCACCAGGACTGTAACCTTATAGCTAATAGGCAAGCATTCCTTAGAACACATTAAAAAAAAAAAAAAAACCCTCAGTACAGTTTATACTGTAGAATACCATGATGTGTGTGTGTGCGCGCGCAATCTCAATGTTTAACAATTAAGCTGACAACAACATCACCAACAATTCAGGATAATGAGTAACATAACATAATACATCACAAAAACCTAAGAATATTAGTTGGGTTTAAACTGTCTAAAAATAGCTGGTGGAGGGGGATAGAGGAGGCACATGCCTGAAATTCCAACACTTGGGAAGGCAGAAGCAGGAGGATCTCTGAGTCTGAGGCCAGCCTGGACTATAGAGTGAGTTCCAGGACAGCCGGCCTACACAGAGTAACCCTGTCTCAAACCCACACCCAAATTTAAAAAATGTCTAGAAATAAACAACAAAGTTCTCTGCCACTAACTAAATGTTACTTGGGAAAAATGTAGGGTAGTAGGGCAGTGGTGGCAAACGCCTTTAATCCCAGCATTCGGGAGGCAGAGACAGGCAGATCTCTGTGAGTTTGAGGCCAGCATATCCTACAGAGCGAGTTCCAGGACAGGTTCCAAAGCTACAGAGAAACTTTGTCTCAAAGAACAAAAGAAGAAAGATGCGGTGTAATTATGGAATGAAATAAAACTGCATACAAATCAGTAGAGAGAAAACTGGTCACGGAACTTTCAATTTTCTTCCAAAACTGGCCTCATTCTCATTCTACTTCTTTAAAGAATGAGATCATTTCATTTCCATAATCGATAATTTTGATATAAAATATCAATGTTTGAGAAACTCAAAATTTTGAAGCCATTATTTTGTAAAAACTTATACTGAGGACTGGGATGGCTCAGTGGGTAAGAGCATTTGCTCTGCAAAGATGAAGACATATTTGAATCCCAGGACCCACTTTAAAACCTTGGCATAGTTTTGTGTACCTGTAACCTCAGCACTGGGAGCAGAATCAAACATATCCTATAAATTCACTAGCCAGACAACTGAAGGAGCTTCTGGGTCACTGAGAGGCCCTGACTCAAGGCAATAAGTAATACCTAGAGGAAGACACCCAATATTCTGTTCTGACCTCTGTGTGCACAGGAGGGTGCACACACCAAAACCACATACCTACACAACATACACACTAAACTAAAAAAAAAAAATACCTATTAAATGTCATGAATGAAGAACACATACTTTTCATTAATAAATACACTCAAAGTGTCAGGAGGCAAAACCCACACCGAAGGTTGTTGAGTAATCTAATCCTTAAATCTTCCTGTTTAGTTGCCAATTAACAGACTAACTGCTAATCCTCGTCAGGGTTGCCTTCAGCGGAGTTGGCCTGGCACAGTAGCCCGATTAAGGATGTTTTAGGGGTAGACATTTTTACAAAATAAGGCTATTACCATTTTTAGAATTTTTGTCACTTCTATTTAGGAAGTCATTAGGAAAATATCCTACTTATCCTTCCTTTGCTTCAAAAGGCAGGTGAGGTGGGAACCATCTCCCTCTTTTTATAGAGTACATAGCCTCAGAGACAGAAGCAACCCTGGTGCTGCAAGCTCTAGCCTTTTCCTCTTTCAGGAAGGGTAACCCAGCACATTCTGCTGATTCGGAGAAGAGGGAGGAAGGACAGCAAGAGTAGGAAGCTTGACTGACAAAAGGCCACTCAGACTCTCTACAGTACAAGAATAATAAGCCTCAATTTTAAGAATACAACTTTTTACTTTTTCTTTGAGGTGCAGAGCTCAAATCTAGGGCCTGGCACATGCTTGACAACTGCTCTCCTCTGATCTGCATCCTCAGCCCTGAAGACTACATTTTTAAATGTTTTATAACCCAGGAGTCACCCAGGAACACCAAGCTCCTCACATGTGGACTGATACCTGTGTTCCATTTCCATACAAACAGCTCCCTAACCAGTTCCCGAAAATTTCAGGAGTTTGTTTCTTTACAAGACAAAAACTGTTTTCATTTGCTGATACAGTTTGCCCATAGTATTACATGCTTCAAATCCCACACTTCATGCTTACCTCACTCTCTGCTTTCAGAAGCAAACTTTTAAAATAAGCCCCAGCTTCAGCCAGAGGTGGCGCACGCCTTTAATCCCAATCCCAGCACTCAGGAGGCAGAGGCAGGCGGATTTCTGTGAGTTCGAGGCCAGCCTGGTCTACAAGAGCTAGTTCCAGGGCAGGAACCAAAAGCTATGGAGAAACCCTGTCTCGAAAAAAAAAAAAAAAAAAAAAGACACAGCACTGACAGATTATGAGATACTTTAAGCTATCAGTCAACGAAGGGAAGAATCTGGCTGAGAAGCCTTGAATTCCATTGACGTTTCAAGTCTGATTTATTAAGTTAGATCTTGAGCATAGCAGGTTGTTAGGGTGGGCCTACAACTATGCCCAGAAGCATCATGCTCTCCAATGCGCCCTTGGATAAAAGTGGCTAGAACTGTGCAACCTGTATCCAACACTGAACCACAAACTAACAGAACTGTTCAAGAACACAGAGAAATCTAGATATTCTTCTACGCTTAGATACAGGAAGCAAAGGCCTTAGGACTCCAGGGTCTGTCAGTCACAAATAATTCTCCTGGGTTGTCATAGCACCCCAGATAATGGGCTTCCAACTAAGGGCACCAATAGCTGCTCACTCTTTTGCACAGGTATGATAGTAAATGCCTATGATTCAAGTCCTCTGCCAGGCTGAAGCAGGAGGATCACAAGCTGCAGGCTAGCTAGAGCTATGTAGTAAGATCCAGTTCACAAAAACAAAACATTCCTTCAAAAGAAATAAGAATCGGATGACTTCATCCTTCATCTCACTGTAACCTCAAGTCCCAACAGACAAGTAACCAAAGACAAATTTTCTAAGAGCTCTTTTACTTTTTAACCAGTGGGGTATATTTGACTTTAAAAAAGCTTTTAACTTTCAAATAATCACTGATCAAAACTTGCAACAATTTTTTTTTTTCAAGACAGGGTTTCTCTTTCTCTGTAGCTTTGGTGCCTGTCCTGGAACTAGCTCTTGTAGACCAGGCTGGCCTCGAACTCCCAGAGATCCGCCTGCCTCTGCCTCCCGAGTGCTGGGATTAAAGGCATGTGCCACCACCGCCCAGCAACTTGCAACAAATTTACAGGAAAGTCCTAAGCACCTTTCTAATACCCTATTAACTGGGCAGGGGAAAGTTGGTGGGTCTGTCCTTGAGAATACAAGTTTCCCAGTACCAGTGCCTCTAGTGTCTGAAGGCACTGACTGACCTCCTGGTGAGAAGCCTAGCCCAGCTGCTACTGAGTTCATTTGCATTCATTCAATAAATACTTATTGGGCTTACTATGTGACTTCTCTAAAAAAACAAAACCTTACCTAGAAAAAAACGTTAAATACGTTAATACATTAAGCAAGAGGCAAGTGCTGTGTGAAAATTAAGGAAGGAAGAGAGAAAATGGGAAGTAGCAGAGCTGAAATTATAAGTAGTAGAATCTAAGAATGTCTCACAGAACAGAAAGTGAATGTTCAAGAAAGAATCAAGGACTGAGCACGTAATTTTCTTCATAGACCAGCAAGGAGGCTGCTGGAGCAAGCAGTGAGGTGGAGAACTCACTCTCCAAGGAGTGATGTGCCACCTCTTCCCAAAAGGGTCTGTATTCAGAGCCCACATAAACAAGGCCAACCCGAGCATAAAAACACTGATGAAGGCCAGGCAGTGGTGGCACAGGCCTTTAGTACCAGCACTCGGGAGGCAGAGGCAGGCAGAGTTCAAGGCCAGCTTAGTCTACAGAGCGAGTTCCAGGACAGCCAACTCTACACACAGAAACCCTGTCTCAAAGCACCGGCCCCACCCCCCCCCCAAAATAAAACACTGATACAGGTAACGGAGTCCTAATAAGTTAGAAACTGTCCAGAAGCACCTAAGTGCTGGCTTTTAATGTCACCAAACAGACCACTGTTTCTTTTTTTTTTTTTAAAAAAAGCAAGTAAATGAAAAAAATTATCCTACAACCGTTAGTTCTGTCTTTAGGTAACCATGACAATAAATAGGTCAATATAATTCTTTCTGATATTAAGTAGTGTTTTGTTTTGTTTTTTTTGAAACAGACAACTCACTAGCAATTCAGATATGGTGTCTAAAAGTATGATCAGCTGCAAATCAAACAAACGGCGACCCAATTTTCCTTAAGTCCAATCTGAAAGCAAAGCTACTTTGCAGTCTTTTTCCGAAGATACATTTAAAATAGAGTTCGGAGAAATCATCTAGGCACAAGGAAAAACAAGTTTTTAATCCAGTCACATAACGCAAGTTGGAGCCTAAACGGATGAGTCTTTAATAAGTCTCCCTTAACAGCATTACACAAAAGCGCCTCTTAAAATGCCGTTGTGAAGCACATAAAATATGTTTTTACAGGTAAATGCTTTTGGAATTAACAACTATAAGACAATCTTCCGAGCCCCAGGGCTGTGAACAAGCCTCGGAGCCTCCACTGCCCGCCTCCCTACAGCAGAGTTTCTGCGTCCCGGGTGCCGCGGAGGCGGCCGCGCATGTGGACCCGGGTTGGCCTGGAAAGCCTCGTCCCCGCGCAGCCCCGCCGTGTGCAAGGTCGAGTGGGGCCGAGTGGGGCCTAGCAGCGACCGGGACCCAGCCCGACCGAAGGCCGGCCGCCATTTCCGGCTGAAAGCAGCCTTCACCTCGTTCTGCGGCGCCGTCACCCCGCTCCTGTCTCCTACACCAGGCTCCCGCCGCCCCACCTAATTTGAGGGCCACCCGGCAGTGAGCTCACCTGTCGGCCCGCCCGCCTGTCCACCGGTTCCGCGGTTCCGTACTCCCTACCGCGGCGCTGCTGGGCAGCCGGCCGTCCCACTGCTCCGCCTGAGGATCCGGGGCGGCGACAGCGGCAGCAGCGGCAGAGGACGGCGGAAGCGGCACCGGCGGCGGCGAGAACGCGCACGCTCACGAACTGGCACTCGCGTCCCCGGAAGGACGTGTGCTCGGCCGGTCACAGGCGGCTGCGCAGGCGCCCGGCGCACCACGCAGAGTGGGCGGGGTCAACGTGACAGTGCCGGCGAAGGCTCAGCTGAGTCCGTGTGCCGAGCCCTACGGGAGGGTCTGCGGGGAAGGTTACAGTGGTGGGCGGAGCCCGCAGCTACTAAGGGAAGCCGGACGCCACAGTCTCTCCCCCCCGCCCCCCCCCCCCCCCCCCCCCCCCCCCCCCCCCCCGCCACCGCGCCGGAACAGGACCTAGGCATGAGGGCACAAGAAGTGACTCAAAATGCCCTGGAAAGCCGAGAGGCTGCACACCACTGAGTTAACGCGCCCGTCTTGCAGTTGAGTTTGCTCAGTGCTTCACTTAAGCCTCAAAAAAATTTACTAATCCTTACCAAAATTTAGAGGCGGAGATGGTGGGGTGAGGGAGACCATCTTCATCCCTAGCCACTGCTAAGGGACTAACGATTTGTTCATCTCTGGAGACCACCCAGAAAGAACGCTTCTGCTTGTCTCCCCAGTCACTGAAAAACCAACCGCCATTACTTAACCATCCTCTAGGAAATCACCTGCAGTCATGTGCTGGACAGGATAAGGACTTTCCTTCCTGCTCTCCCGTACAATCCTTGTTCAACCTGTTGATTTACTACGGAGAAACCTAGTCACTCCTGCCAATTACCCCCTGTAATACTCCTATTGTTTAGCTGGACATAGTGGGGTACTCCTTTAGTTCCAGCACACGGGAAGTAGAGGCAGTCGCATCTCAGAGTTTGAGGCCAGCCTGGTCTATAAAGCGAGTTCCAAGACAGGGCCGTTACACAGAGAACCCTTATCCCAAAAAACCTACTATCTTTCACTTTCATTCTTACCTACCATTTTAATTATAATTTTTTTTTAGATAATTACATCAATTCCCCCTTCCCAACCCTCTCATGTTTCCACACACCCTCCCCTCCCTTCTTCCCCTCCCCCTCTCTTTCAAATTCATGGCCTCTTGTTGTTACATACATAATTCCTAGATATATGAATACAACCTGTTAATAGTATGTTTTCAAGGCTATTCGGTATGGGATAACCAAGTGCTATGCTCTTTCCTCAGGAAGACTTTCTCCAGCTCTGAGAATTCCTGTTGTCCTTGTTCAAGCCAGTTAGGCAGCCATGTTGGTTAGACTTCATGGATGTAGCTTCTCTGACATTTCTAGGAGACACAATCTTACGGCAAACTTTCTGTTCCCCTAGTTCTTACAATCTCTCCTTCCCCTCTTCCACAACGACCCCTAAGCCTTAAGTGCAGGAGTTGTGTTGTAGATTTATCAGTCGGGACTGGACTGCATTTTGATTAGTCGCAGTTTTCTGTAATGATCTCCACCTGTGGAAAGAGGTTTTTTTGATGAAGGGTGAAAACTACAAATATCTGTGGGTATAACGATACATATTTAGGAAATGATTAGGGATTATGCTGTTTTAGTAAAGTGATCCCGGGAGTTGGCTAGGTTTCCAGTATCAGGCATGATTTCCCTCTTGCTGAGCAGACCTTAAGTACAATTAGAGTTCTCAGTTATGAACAAGGTACCACTAACGTGACCATAAGTCAGCTTTCAAAATCAAAACAAATGTCACTCAAGGCACCCATAATGCACTTACTTCTCCCTTTATCTTCTACCTTTCTTCACTCCGGCTGAACTCGAATTGGCACATTTTCCAGTCTCAGACTGTCAGGAGCAGACAGCTCAAGAAACTCAGTAAGTTGTGCAACATCAAGCAAGTAACAAAAAAACGCTCACGAAAATCAATAAGCAGAGAGACCATTTATCTATCTGACACAAGGGAAGGAAAGCCAGGTGTACTAGCACAAGCCTGCCATCCCAGCAGACAGAGAAGGCTCTTGAATTTTGAGGTAGAAGCTATGTAATGAGACCACTTGAGAGGGAGAACATGAGTGAAAAGATGCCACAGTTGGGGGCTGGAGGGATGGCTTAGAGGTTAAGGGCCCTGGCCACTCTTCCAAAGGACCTGGGTTCAATTCCCAGCACCCACATGGTGGTTTACAGCTATCTGTAACTCCAGTTCCAGTGGATCTGACATCCTCACATAGACATGCATGCAGGCAAAGCACCAATATACATAAAATAAATTTTTTAAAAAAGATTCCATAATTGGAAGAAATAGCAAAATGGACCTGGAACCGACTGAAGACTGAAGCTATAAAGCCGTCCACGTTGGGATACTTACATGAGTCCCTCCAGAGCTAGGATTTTCTCCTAATATCTCCAAATACAAAAGTTTTATGTGCTAAGATGTTTGTAACAGTGTCATAACTAATAGTGAAAATGGAAAAAATCCCATACCTTTAATTAGGAGACAGCAGCAGGCAGATCTCTGTGAGTTGAAGGCCAACCTGGTCTACAAAGTGGGTTCCAGGACAGCCAGAGCAACACAGAGAAACAGCCTCGAAAAACAAAAATGGAAAAGAAAAAAATTATTGTAATAGTGAAAATGGAAAATTGCAACCCAACTGTACAAGTAAGCACATTCAAATGGAATATAGCCATTAAAGTGCATACAAAATAGCTGGGTGGTGGTGCCACGTACCTTTAATCCCAGCACTCAGAGGCAGGCGGATCTCTGAGTTTGAAGTTAGCCTGGTCTACATAATAAGTGCCAGGGCTACACAGTGAAACCTTGTCTTGAAAACCAAAAGAAAAAGAAAAAGCATATATAAAATACTTATAGGAAAAAAATGGCTACAAAACACACACACATAACTGCTTGTGACAGCTCTTCAGTCAACTGCAAAAGCATGATGTTTAAGAAAATTACAACTTCACAATTAAATGAATGTTTTTATTCTTTTTTGTCTGTTTGTTTGTTTGTTTTTGAAGACAGGGTTTCTCTGTGTGGCCCTGGCTATTTTGGAACTTTTCATAGACCAGACTGGCCTTAAGCTCACAGACATCTGTTGTGAAAGAGTATTTATTTAACTATGTAAAGATGTATTGCTGTTTCAACTTGCCGGCGTAAGGCACATGATTGGTCTAATAAAAAGCAGAATGGCCATAACTAGGCAGAAGAAGGACAGGTAGGCAGAGAGAAAAGGGGAGCCAGCCAGTCAGTTGGGGGGGGGCAGACAGGAGGAAGCAGGAAAGCAGATGGACAGTAAATATATATATGAGGTAAATGAGCCTTGGGGCTCAAGCTGAGTCTTCAAATATGGCTGTTCTCTGCTAGTACGAGCCCCTCAAATGTGCCCTGGTTCTACCCATCCCACTCATTCCAGGACACCATACTCTCAAAAGACCTTCATCACACCTCATTTTATTAGAGCCAAAGTTACTCGCAGGAACACATCTTCCTCAAGAAGTGCAACTCTTGAGAACTGGGTCCATGAACACAATCATGTACCCACAAAGCCTGCCTGGCAAGCAGTCTCTTATCCACTGATTAATTTAAGGTATCTGCTTCATGATTGGAGTGCACTGAATTGTCTTCCAATATAACCCAGGGCAAATACCGAATTTCTAGTTCAGATCCAGTTGCTGCCCTGCTGTCTGAATTTGCCCAGTGTGAGAGCCACTCACTGCCGATACCACTCAGCCCTCCTGATCAGGCCAACAATTCCAATTTACCCTGTTCACTAAGCACTTAGGAGTCTTCAATCACTCATCATTTCACATGACCCCGCACCTGCAGAAACAGGATCATACCTCTTAAGAGTGGTTGTGCCATGGAGTGACAGTCTTCTCTTAGTAGGGCTTAAGAATGCTGGTCTTCCCAATGCCCACTTCTGCCAGGTGAGCTCCTGGGTATGACAAGACTCACAGCAAAAGCCAGCAAAACACTAGATAATCACAGGAACAAAAAGGCCCCTTCAGTGGAGCCAATCTTGATGAAGAACTGCAAGCCCCTTAACTGCATGCCTGGCATGCATCCCTGGTCTCATTCAGAGATGCAGCTTCTACACAATTCACTCCCTTTATATGCATGCACACCAAAGACTTGGAAATTGTACATGAGTGTCTCCTGCTTGCCCCCAATCAAAGCAAGAAATCGTGTGCATTTACTCCCCAACTCTTTTGTCATTATCCTAAAAGATACACCAAACTAATGGATGTGGATTTTCCTCCAAAGGAATGCTTTATTGACAAGTTTCCTGTTATTCTTGTAGGAAGATACATCATTGACTTGCACTCCTGTCGCCCACCTCTTCACACAACTGTTTTAACCCTGGAAGAGAAGACATCACGATGTCTCTTCTTCAACTCCCCAATTCCTCACCTTTACTTGTTTTGAATGGTATAGTATTCTAAGGGTATCCGAAGAAACCAAGGAGTGCAGAGATATGCACACGACAAAGTCTTTGCCCTGCTAAGAGCCACTAAGGCACAGTGCTGCCCCTCCCTCCAGACCATGCCTCCCAACAGCTAGGGCCCTGGCATTGAGAGGATGTAGAATGTGGCAATTGGAGGCAGGAGAAGGAAACCTAGAAAGAAATCTTTGTAGCTCCTGAGAAAAGATGACAACAGCAGAGTTTTCTGGCTGAATGAAAACCACATCCCCTAGGTGACCTGCAGGGTGGGTTCTGCCTCTCATTTATTCTTTGTGTCATGGGCAGGCAGGCAGGTACTACAGACCAGAGCCCTGCTCACTGTCAGCAGAGCAACACTATGCAGGGTACATGTCATTAAAATGCCAGAGACTGAGGCTTTTTTCCTTCTCTCTGCCCTCCTGACCCACAGCACAAGAGCCTTGTGGGCCAGACTGGAAAGCTACTGAGAAATACCATTCTTCAAAAGAACCAAGTTTTGCATACCAGGAGAAAGTGTTAGAGAAATAAAATGCACTAACTGGTACTGGCAGAGTATGAGATGGGACAGAGATAAAACTCTACATAGTACCCATAACCCATTAAAGACTCCTCATTTATAGGGATATAAAAGACTATAAACAAATAAAGCATAAGGCAATGTAAGGCTTGAATGCAAAGAAATATTCAATAATGAGGCTAAAGTTGTTTTGCCTCACTTTTTTCTATTTAATTTTTGAAAAGTCCATCACATTTAAAAAATAGTGGATCTGCTTCTGTCACAGCCAGGTTGTTCTCTAAGAATGAAGCGGTTGCTTATGTTTCCTTTCTGGGGCCTCAGAAAATAAGAGAACCCTCTCATTTCTCAAATGATGCAGTATGATCTTCTGAGCTATGGGGAGGAGGGCAGGCAATACCCCTGACAACTCTTCCCTCAGCATCCTGGTGAGACCGCCAAAAAGAACGTGGGCCCCTGTCCACTTCCTGTGGCCCTGGAAAGGACAGCGCAGTGATCTGCTTCATCTATGAACTTCAGTGTAAAATATTTATGCACAAGACTGTTCTCTAATTCATGCCAAGGCAGCAGCCACATCTGCACGTAGATGGGTATGACTGTCTTCAAAACCAGCTCTTCACTGGCCCTGGCCGGTTGCTCTGTCATGCAGAGTTGCAGCTGTGATGATGAGGGTGTGCTTCTGTATTCTGTGGATGATAAGCTAGGACGAGCTTAGAAAGGGGCATGATCCGGTAATGGCTGGTCACCACTTCCAGGTGAGGAAGGGAGGTTATCGCTGCCATTCTCTCTGCTACCCACAACCTTAGACTATAGAAAAAACAGAGAAAGTAAACCTAAGACACAACAGAAAACAGAATAGGTCCAGGGACCATGTTCAACTCTCTACACAGGTTTATGCAACATGAACACTAGTCAGCAATGAAAAGAAATGAGTCAATGAAATACAACAGTCTGTATGGGTTTCCTAAGAATTATACATTGTGTTGTTTAGAAAAACATTCATACCGTGTGGTTCCACTAGATTGATTACTAAGAAAAATGTATCTGGGGGAAGGAGCTGGAGAGATGACTGATTGATCAAAAGTATTTGTTACCCTTGGAAAGGATTCAGGTTCAGTTCCCAATACCCACATAGTGGCCCACAACTGCCTTTTTCTGACCTCCACAAGACCAGGCATGTACAAAGTACATATACACACTTATAAGCAAAACACAATTGTTTTTGAGACAGGGTATATTTTATATCAATATACGTCCTGGAATTTTCTATGTAGACCAGTCTGGCCTAGAATTCACAGAGATTTGCCTGCTCCTGCCTCCCAGCTGCTGGGATTAAACATTCTGCTTTTGTGTGCATAGTATATATGAGTACATGTGGACACAAAAGGTTGACATTAGATATTTTTCTTCACATTATTTACTAAAGCAGATTATCTCAATGAACCCTGAGTTGATGAGTTGAGTGACTTAGCTAATCTAGCTAGGTAGCTTGTTCTGAAGACACCCTGTTGTATTAGGAGCAGCAGGGCTGTGTCCTGCCACCCGGCTAGCTTTATACCCGAAATAATTACACGGAAACTGTATTCTTTTAAACACTGCCTGGCCCATTAGTTCCAGCCTCTTATTGGCTAGCTCTTACATATTGATCTAACCCATTTCTAATAATCTGTGTAGCCCACGAGGTTGCTTACCAGGGAAGATCTTAACCTGCATCTGTGTCTGGTGGGAGAATCATGGCGACTCACTGACTCAGCTTTTTTCTCCCAGCATTCTGTTGTGTTTTCTCCGCCTACCTAATTTTCTGTCCTATTAAAGGGCCAGGACAGTCTCTTTATTTAACCAATGAAATTAACACAAAACAGAAGACTCTCCCCCATCAACACCCTGGCGCTAACTCCAGAATTTTGTAGGATTATAGGTGGGTTACCACACCTATCTGAATTTTTATGTTAGGGATCTAGGTTTCCAGTTCTTGGGCCATCAAGAATGGCCTCAGCAGGTAAAGTTTCTTGCCACTGAGCCTGACCACCTGAGTAAAAGGAGAGACAGGTTTCCTTCTGACCTCCACGTGTGTGCCAAGGCATATATACACACCCTCCCCAAATACGTTTTACGAGAGAACTGAATCTGAGTTATCACTCTTGTGCTGCAAGTGTTTTACCCACTGAGGAGTCATCTCTACAACCTAAGAGACATTCTTGAAAGGATAAAATTACAGAGATGAAGAACAGATTAGGGGATGGCAAGGCAAAGAAAAAGATGGGCATGACCACAGAGGCACTGATGAATAAGTTTTAGCTGGGTTTGATGGCTATAATTATAATCCTAGAACTCAGGAGGCAGAGGCAGGTGAACTGAGTTCAAGACCAGCCTAGTCTACATAGTGAATTTCAGGCCAGCCAGGACTGAATGACCCTGTCTCAAAATTAAAAAATCAGAAACAAACAAAAACACACTGTTTTGTATCCAGAGACTTTACCCAAGTTCTGTAGGATCTTATTGCTGCAGGAACAACATGAAAGGTACAAAAGACCTCTACATGAGTTCCTGTAATAACAGTCCTCAGTAATAAAGAAGTTGATTCAGTAGATCACACCCATGCTTCAAGAAAACAGCCCAGGAATAGTTACCTTTATGGTCCCTACTCGGTCTTCAAAAGACTTGAAGGTTGCAGAGTTCCTTTAAAGAGATAGGGAGATAATGGTGTGAAAAGGTGTTTTGTTACCTCACCCTCCTCAAGTTGAAGGACCTAGGGCTAGGACTATGCCCACCTAAACTCTCCCCATGAAAATGGGACACAACAGAAAGGAGCAGTCGCCCTGCAGACTCTACACAGGGTAATTCTGAGTATTTTACGGTTGGGTCCAGATGTCATTTAAGAGTACTGTAAACTCTTGACTACAGTGTGCAGGATCCCTGCTCTAATCTGAGCAGACAGCCTTGATTAAGCTCAGATGCAGTTCAGTGGGGTCCTCAAGCACTGAAAAAATAAAAGACATTCTTGGGTGTCCTCCTTCTAGGAAAGTGAGAATGTGGTCCCCATTATCATAAACCATGCAGTCAGTTCCCACATTTTAGGAAATCACTGGAATCAACACACCCAGAGTACAAGTAAGCATCAACCTAAGAAAACCACCTCTTGGTCATATTATCATCTGTGGTTTTTTTTTCTTCCTTTTCTTTTTTGTATTGGGATGAGAAGTCTTGGAGTCCTTCAAGTATATCTTCAGACATACCACATAAAAGGAAAATCACAGTTTTGGAATAATAGAGGGTTGGAAGTCAGAGGAGAAAGGTCTTCACACACTAAGACACAACAGTTTTTCTAACAAGGATGGACTTTGCTGAGGCACTATGCTTGGTCAAACAGGTGGGAAGCAACAGACTATACTAGAGATGGTCCTGCTGGGCTGAGAATGAGATCTCCAGAGATCCATGTGCCAACCTCGCTAACCCTCCTTACTGAAAACACAGGCACCCAGAGCTAGAGCCTGCAAAGCTAAGTCTGGATCAAAGGTTCACAAAATGGTTCTCCTCTGGAGGCCTCAAAAGAAGTTTCCTTCCCATGAGCTCTTCCTTGCCAGCCAACAGACAGTCTTTAGCTGAGAGAAAGCTGCCAGGAAAATGAAGACACATGGATTGGGGGGGCATAGAAGTGCAAGGTATGACTGGTATTGCTGCCCACCCCCACCCAGAGACATTTCTGGAGAAATGAAAGCAGGAATACATTACCTCATGGTCGGCATACTTATCGAGTGGCGGATGGAGTAGCTGCTGCTTGGAATCATGGTGAAAGCAGAGAAGGAAGCAAGAATTAGCCTGTGGTGCCAGACCAGCCCACACTTGCCAGCTTAGATCATATATAAGAAGAGGCAAGACTCTCCCAGCACCAGAGTGAGCTACTGACCCTCTCTTCCAGCTCCAAGGGTTTCTAATGCTGCCTTTGCTGAGCAGTGTGGCACTGATCAGGAAGAGTATTAAAACAAGAAAATTGAAACTGGCAGGGTATACCTCTAGTCCTACCGCTAGGAAGGCAGAGGCAGGCAAATCTCTGAATTCAAGTCCAGCCTGCATGTAACAGGATTGAGAACACAGGTTCTCCTATGTGCAAATGCTTATTCTCAGGCATAAACTTAGGTATGGACATTTACCACTAACGTTAGGTCAGTCACTTTTATTGACCCAGAAATATGCAGTCCAGTAAGGTCCAGATGAGGTGCTCATAGGGGATAGTCATATAGACCATGCCTTGTGAGCAAGTAGCTGCCTACTGGTACCATCCTGAAGCAAAGGGGGCCTCCACTGTACTGGCTTTCCTACTTTCACCCAGCAAAGCCTCCCGTAGGCCTACTGGAGTCCACCTTGCCCTAATACAGGTGTGTCCATAGGTCATGTCCAAGGTCACCTTACCTAAAGGAGTGTGAAAACGAATGAGCCCTGAAAGATAGCAGCAGGAGAAAAGAAGAAAGACAGCATTATTAAGCAAGGGAGGCCAATACCATACAAGACCCCCAACAGAAGCCCTATGTCCCTCTGTTCAAAATCTGTAAGGTTAAGTAGGGTTAGCATGTGAGAAGACACTCTGTGGATGCCTCTTTAGTGCTTAAACTGATAGGAACAGCAGAATACATAGCTCCATCTTGACTCACAAAAGCGAATAAGAAATCTGGCAACCATGTGGTTCATGGCACTGTATTTCTGAGCACTGTTACATGTATAATAATACAAACAATTACAGGTTAAAGGACAGAGAGCAAAGAGAGGTCTAAAGAAAATACCTGAGACATAAGTAGCCCAGTAAGTAAAGACTTGAGATATGACACAGTGAGCCAGCCAGGCTGGGTCAACACTTCATGTCCACGGAGCACCTTGCATTCTCTGAAAGCTAAACAGGAACCCAAGCACCATAAGATGACCTAGAACATACTAGAGGCTAAGCACTAAGGTTCTAAGCTGCATCACAAAGGCCAACCTAGAACATGCAAGTCCAAGGGCCGCTGCTTACCAGGTAAGAACATAGCTGGCGACTCCTCCCCCTCTACACTGCTGGATTCTATGAGTGGTCTTGAGCAGAGGCTACTCCCAACACAGAAGGAGCCACTGAAGAATGCACTCATCACTCTGTAGGTTTAGGTAGGGTCATCAAGCCTACTCCCTACTTCCAGTTTCCCATCTCCAGTGGAGAGTATATCAGAGGTGCCTGGAGCTTCAATGGCTCTAGGACTGGTCCACCATGGACAGAGACATCCATCTGCCCTTCCTAAACTCATGATATTAGTTTCCTAGAGAGACCAATGGGCATTCTCAAGAAACTATTAGCATGATAAACCTGGACCTCAGAAACCACTGTGATTATTTGTGAGATGATGGAACTCTGCTATGGACCAGAGAGATCAGAGTTCATAACACTAATATGAACACCAACAAATATGCTCTCTTCCACAGGGGAAGACACAGTAAACAGGAAGCCCTTTGGGCACTGTGAAAACACCACCACCACCCAACTGGAGAGAACCAGTTTCACTGACCTTGTTCTGAAAACCCTCCTGATCACTGTGGTTGGTCCACACAAGCCAGAACAGTGAGACCAGACAATGCTATGCCAGCATTGCCACAGGAGCACTGCTAACTGCCTGCCATAGTCCTAAGGCTACATACCACGGGGTCAATAGCAGATCCCAGTTCTCTGAAAAGAAAATAGGAACTTTATTTCTTTTCCAACAAGGAGAAGAAATAACACAGGATCATGTCTTATGCTCCCAAAGAAAGGCAGGCCATATAAAAAAAGAGCTCAATCAAGATAGCTAAACATAGCTATTAATTCCAGCAATTCAGAGGCAGAAGCAGGTGGCTCTTCATAACTTTTAAGACCAGCCTGGTCTACAAAGCAAGTTCCAGGACAGCCAGGGCTACAAAGAGAAACCCTGTCTCCAAAAAACAAAAAAACAAAAAAAAAAAAAAAACCAGAAAGAAGCCGGGCGATGGTGGCGCACGCCTTTAATCCCAGCACTCGGGAGGCAGAGGCAGGTGGATCTCTATGAGTTCAAGACCAGCCTGGTCTACAGAGCTAGTTCCAGGACAGGCTCTAAAACCACAGAGAAACCCTGTCTCAAAAAACCAAAAAGATGGCTAAACAGGTTAGACACGGTATCCAATACTTCAGTACAATACTTAGGAGATAGAGGCAGGTGGATCTCTGTGGGTTTGAGACCAGTCTGATCCACAAGAGTGAGTTCAAGGCCAGATAAGTAAACACTGTGAGATTCTATCTCAAAGAAAGAAAAAAAGATGGCTCAAGAGCCACTTCCATCAACACTAACACCCTATCAGGTATCTACCAAGAATGCTCTGAACATACTAAAAAAGGAGTAAAAGCTCAGAGTACCTCATACCTATAATCCCCACATTTGGAAAGCTGATGGAGTAGAATTACCATGAGTTCAAGACCAGCTTGGATTGCAGAGTGAGGAACTATCTCAAAAGAACAACAAAAATGCTAACACACACACACACAGAGTGGGAACCCCTTAAACGAGCAAGCAACCTATTTTTCAGGAAGAACAGGATGGTAGTTCCTGGGAGTTGGCCAGGATACCAGTGGTATAACCAGCAACTACCCACCACTAGACATAGCACCTCATCATTCAAGAAGTCCCAAGCTGATCCTAAGGACAACATGTCACCTGCCCTAACAGACACCCCATTCCATCATGACTCCAAGGCCACATCACTGCTTTGCAAAAGAGCTGCAGCAGAGAAAAAGAGACTAGTGACCTTTCTTTCCCCAAGGAATAAATAAACGGCCAAAGACAAACAACAGAAGTCAGAGGAATTCCCACAAACAAAAGTCTATAGGTAGATTGGTAGGTTATCATGGGGGTCCCTATGTTATGTGTCTGAACCCTTGACTTGAAACAGGTTTCCACTTGAAACTGCTTACCTCATGTCTCCAAGCTTCCTACTGATGGCAGAGCCCATGGTAGACAAGGCAGCAGATGTCTTCTGTCCTGCCTGTGAAAGGGTTTCTTGAGTCTTCTTGTAGCTGGGAAAAAGACACACCACTTAGATTAACTACAAAGCAAGGGCAGCAATAGTTCATCGCCAAAGAAACCAAGTGTGTAGAGAACACCCATGGGAAAACCAGGGTAAACACTCACTGGGTGGTGGGGGCATGCTCCCTGGGCCTCTACAGTGATGATCTACTCCAGTTCCTCAACTTCCAGTTCATCTAAACCTGACCTGAGACTTTGCCATTCTCTTGTTTTCTTATGGTACTCCTGACTGCTCAGGGAGCCAAAAACTTTCGGCTACAGAGAAAACAGAGCATAGACATGCTGGGCCTGGCAGCACTTCGGGCAGGCAACACTGCAGCAGCAAACAAAGTTCTCAGCTTCTGATCAAGCCAATTCAAGCTCAAAGTTTCCCCTTCCAATTCCCACATAAATAGTCTTCTGAGACAAGAAGGCACAAGCTAAAGAGCATTCATGAAGGACGTCCCCAGTTTGGGTTAGCACCTGTGCAGTGCCTTCATTACACTGAAGAGCCCTCTGATTTCCAGCACTTTCTACACAATATCCTTCCAGAATGTGAACATCCCTTGCTCATGTTCCTCTACTGTGCATGGGCAGCCGTGGCCCGCAGCAAAGACCACCAGTCCCATCTGCTCCCACTCCCTATGTTGTTTATTCACATATACACACATCATACTGAGACACAGCTCTACAGCCTTAACCCAATGGGATGAATGTCATTATGGTCAGAGATACTAAGGAGTTCATCATAAGAATCTTGCTTCCCCTGCAGAGCAAGTTCCAGAACAGGCTCCAAAGCTACAGAGAAACCCTGTCTCAACGCCTCCCCAAAAAAGAATATTGCTTCCCTGTTGGCTCTGCTACCACATAAAAGACACAGCAGTCTCAGAAACAAAGACCATAACCAAATAACCAAATGCCTCATTCAAAACCTTTAGGTCATAGCTCCTCATTGAATGGAGCTGGGGAACTTGAAGCTGAGCCAGGAGTAGATCAAGACTCGTGAGGCTGCTCAGTATCACCATGGCTACCTAAAGAAGTTCTCTCCAACATACCTGGCAAAGCTTGAAGTCAGGGTATCAGTAACTGGCTTTCCAAACTCTTCTTGGCCCTAACTCCTATAGGAAGTCTGGTAAGAGCACCTGCCAATCCATAGGTTAAAGACAGGTCTGATGAACCACAAAGGCCCTGCAGCCTCCTCCTGAGCCTACACAAACCCAAGTTACATAGCACTTTCCGACCAAAGCCAGGGAAGTGAGAAGCAAGATTTCTGTAAGTACACTTCACTGAAAACAAAGTGTTTCTTTAAAACATCAAGTTCAAGGTGATTAAGGACTGCAGCATTTATTTGCAGAAATATAAATTCAAAGTAACTACTACCTAGAAGGGGGGGCAGCAGAAAAAAGGCAGAAGTTGAAGTAAAGGCAGAGAGAAAGAGAGAGAGAAACACAAACATACTCCAGTCAGTCAGTCATGATAGCACAGTCTATAATCCCGGCACTTGGGAGGCTAAAGGAGAACAATGAAAAGTCTGAAGCCAGACTAAACTGCATGGCAAAACCTTATTTCAAAAAAGGAGGCAAAAGCCGGGCGATGGTGGCGCACGCCTTTAATCCCAGCACTTGGGAAGAATAAATAAAAATAAAAAATAAAAAAAAAGAGGAAGGAAGAGAGGGAAGGAAGGAAGGCATGTCATAAGGTCATCACCCAGGTCCATCACTGCAGGCAAACTGTGCCAGCCTCATATACCCAGGCAAACCTACTCCTTGGCAATCTGGGAATCATTACATGTCATGTATATTGGGGAAGCTAAGCTCAGAAAGTGATAGCTAGAAAGCAGAGACAGACAACTAGAGAGGACTGTGCTGTGCTGCTTCTTTGAGACTTAGACCTCTTAGAACGCTGGTTCTCAACCTGTGGGTCAAGACTACTTTTGGAGGGCCTTTTCATAGGAGTCTTGTACCAGATATTCTGTGTATCAGATAATTTCATTATGATTCAGAACAGTAGCAAAATTACAGGTATGAAGTAGCAACAAAAATAATTTTATGGTTGGGGGTCACCAACATTAGGAAGGTTAGAAACCACTGTCTTAGAACAACATAGAGGGTTGGAGAGATGGCTGAGGTTAAGAGGTTAACTGCCCTTCCAGAGGTCCTGAGTTCAATTCCTAGCAGCCATATGATAGTTCAAAACCACCTATGAGAGCTGATGCCCTCTTGTGGCATGCAGGCATACATGCAGCAGGCAGAGCACCCTATACACAATAAATAAGCCTTAAAAAAAAAAAAAAAAAAAAAAAAAAGAACCCAGAACAAGCTGGGTGGTGGAGGGACACACCTTTAATCCCAGCACTCAAAGAGGCAGAGGCAGGTGGATTTCTGTGAGCCTGAAGCCAGTTTGGTTGGTCTACAGAGTAAGTTCCAGGACAACCAGAGCTACACAGAGAAACCCTGTCTCAAAAAACAAAACAAAAAGACGAAGACGAAGACGAAGAAGACAACGAAGAACCTAGACCAGGCATGTGTCTGTCAGCAATTGTGGATGTACTTTCCCTGCCCTTTCGGAGTCTTCCTTTTGAGGCTAACCTCATTTTCTTAGGCTTACCAGAGGATACCATTCCCTGTCCACAGCAACTAATTCTCATAATATTCGCACCTGGGCAACTTTGTTAGGCTGCAAAATTAGAAGCAGGGGCTTCTCTGTCAACTTACCCTGATTGACACTAACTGTAGCCCAAAGAACTCAAAGTAAAGCATGAACCAACTAGTAACTACACAGTGAAGTGGTACACTATACCTATAAAAAGAAGGCAATAGCCTGGCAGTGGTAGCGCACGCCTTTAATCCCAGCACTCGGGAGGCAGAGGCAGGTGGATCTCTCTGAGTTTGAGACCAGCCTCTGGTCTACAAGAGCTAGTTCCAGGACAGGCTCCAAAACCACAGAGAAACCCTGTCTTGAAAAAAAGAAAGCAATAAAGTTTCATGGCCCTCAGAATATGGATGCTCCTTATACACAAATGACTATGTGTAAGTGCAGTACAACTTTCCCATGGCTATACACAGAGGGGCAGACACTCATGCCTAATGAGCCCTGTTGTTCCAGTCCTCCAGCATGCTACTGGCTAAAAGGAAAATACAAACACATGGGTCAAGAAGGTCAGGAAGCTTGTATATATGACCTTCCTCTGTGAAAATGATAGGCAGAGTCAATCCTGCCAGCAATCCAGTTCCTAAATTCTGGTCAAGGTAGGCACTAGCTTCTTCTTCTGGAAAACACCAAATGGTGGATGACGCCGGTGCAATGGGAGGACTGGGAGGAGGATTAGGAGGATTCAACAGTGGTTGTGGTTGAGGCTGAGGCCGAGGCGCAGGGCTCGTAGAGGTAAAGCCGAAGACAAGGAGTGGATCCCCATTACCAAGCTGGGCGGCCTGGTTAAGGACATGAAGATCAAGTCCGTAGAGGAGATCTACCTCTTCTCCCTGCCCATTAAGGAATCAGAGATTATTGATTTTTTTTCTGGGAGCATCCCTAAAGGAAGAGGTTCTGAAGATCATGCCAGGGCAGAAGCGGACTAGGGCAGCCCAGCAGACCAGGTTCGAGGCTTTTGTTGCTACTGGGGACTACAACGGTCATGTTGGTCTCAGTGTTAAGTGTTCCAAGGAGGTAGCCAGTGCCATCCGAGGGGCCATCTTGACCAAGCTTTCCATTGTCCCTGTGTGGAGAGGCTACTGGGGGAACAAGATTGGCAAGTCCCACACTGTTCCATGCAAAGTGACAGGCTGCTGTGGCTCTGTGCACCTCATCCCTGCTCCCAGAGGCACTGTCACAGTCTCTGTTCCTGTGCCCAAGAAGCTACTGCTGATGGCCGGTATTGATGACTGCTACACATCAGCCAGGAGCTGCACTGCCACCCTGGGCAACTTTGCCAAGGCCACCTTTGATGACCCCGACCTCTGGAAAGAGACTGTGTTCACCAAGTCTCCTTATCAGGAATTCGCTGAGCATCTTGTGAAAACCCACACCAGAGTCTCTGTTCAGAGGATCCAGGCTCCAGCTGTGGTCACCAGATAAGGGTTTTTATACAAGAAAAATAAAAATTGAATCAAGTCTGTTTAAAAAAAAAGATAGGCACTAACCAAGCAGAGGATAAGAAGTGGCATCTTTAGTCCTATTCCCATTACCCTGACTTCTCAATGCAGAATCACTGCTGACAGCTCTCCCCCGAAAAGATGGGGTAAAACCCCAGAAAGCCTCTGCCAGAGGAAGTTGGAATGGATGTTTCATAAACTACACTTCCACACAAAGCCATAGATTTCTCTGGGAGATATCAGAATCCCATGTATTTGTTGTGAGTTCTTTGAGAAACTATTCGAAATGGCATACCAGACAACTCTATGTCAGGCAATTTTTCGAACACAATGAATATACATTTCTCACAAGACTACCTTCACATTGAATCTGCATTATGAGCCTGTCTGCCTGTCTAGGTCTCTAGCAAAACAGATGACAGTGTCTCAACCTAGGGAATATATGATTCCAGCAAACTGTCCAGTTCAGTCCTAAAGATAATTGTCAGTACCCATAGGAAAGCTAAGGTAACAACTGAATGTTGAACCAAAGAAAACCAGAGCTGTCTATACCTGATTGCTTCCCATATGACACCAGACCTTAAGGCCCTTCTTCATACACAGGGAACTAAGGAGGTCCCCAGACACCTTTAAGATAAGCTCATCAGAATTTCCTTCAGGCCAAACACAGAAAGATTTCTCCCCTAAGTGTTAAAGTAACCATGTCATCATTTCCTTCTAAAAGGAAACTATTCTCTGGCAGTCAAATCTCTTGACGTCTGATTACATCATGCATCAATCCAGCAAAGATATTATCAGACTAGTACACAGGTAGATGACATCATTACCTAGATGAAGGGTCCCCAAACAACAGACGTCACTAAACTCAACTTTGACAGACATACAAAGGCCCTCCTCAAATAACTTATGCTCTCCTGATATTTTATGAGGCTGACAGTGCAGCTCCTCCAGACCACAGAACTTCATGAACCCACCAACATGTGACGCCATTACTCCCATCCAAGAGTCTCTCACACACCAACAGCTGGAGGTGACTCTGGGGTAGAACACAGGAAGACAAGCACAAAAATCTACCACCACCAACAGGTCAGATGACATCAATCACCATGTCACTGCCACAAGTCAGGGTATATTTAATATTCAGAGACAGTGCCCACTCATTTCAGGAACCTCATATAAGCAGGCAGAGAATTTTAAGCATGGTCTGGTGACTGAGTAGATTTCTCTAACTACTGTACTCTATCCTTCAGGTGTTTAAAACATCCTTTAATTATTAAGTTGGGAAGAGAACAATAGTCAGCAAGCACTGAAAGACAGTTTGTGCCAAGGGTGCACAGCTTCCCTGCCCCAGCAAGACCAAGAGAAGAGCGAGGAAGGACACTGACAGCGTGGGCACTCACAGGTCAGACTGGGTCACTTTCTCATTCCACTCTCCAAGTTTCTCAGACGTTTTCACATAGCTAGAAACAGAAAGTCTGTGATGAATATCTGGAATGATTCCAACCCAGGCTTCAGGCTGCATTTAAGATTCCAAGAAGACAGAAGACTCCTGCTGTGCAGCCCACCCAAACAGTCTAGAGTCACTACCACACCTGTGTGTAGGCCCAGGGCTAGCCAGGACTCTATAAGACAGAGATGAGCATGCCCTCTTCCAATCACAACACTGGAGCACCTGGTCGTTTAAGAGCAAAGGGCTCCTGGGAAGGGCACAGCCCATGGCCCCTGCCTGCTCTGACAGGCACTACGAGAAGGGACCCAAAGTCCTCAATACCCTACTACAGAAACAGGATTTCTAGAGGTGAAATTTACAAAGTGTAAATGTTTGCTTCTTTAGTAAAAAGCTTCTGGAGACGTCCACAAAGCAATGCTGTAACAGGAGAAACATGGACATAAACATGGTAAACTCTCACCAGATTCTGATAGCTCAGTGACATGTGAGACTGGTACCCACGTCTAAGGACTTCATTGGTGCTCTGACGAATTTGGACCCAGGGGAAAGATTTTTCTACTTGGACACCTAGCTAATTCCATGCTCTTTTTCAAACACATGCAGATTTCACCCTCTGAGTAAACACAGGCACAGTCCCTAAGAACTCAAGTCTTCTGGTCACCTATTCCCAGCAGTCTCATTTAATACTGATTGCTGTAAAGCGTCTCATTCCCCAGCACTCATACACTCCATCCACAAGAAAGAGAGGCACTTCCTTAGCCAAAGGAACATCCCCACTGTGCCACAGTGGGAGTGGTACCTACGCAGTAGAGACCTGCACATCATGCCAGCTCCTAGACAGGTTCTGCTTCAGCTCCCCTAAAGGAGAAAGGCCCAGCCTCCTTTTCAGCTCTCCACAGTGCCTCTCTTTGGCTGCCAGGACCTGGCGCAGAGTGACAATTTCTTCTTCCACCTGTAAAAGAAGCAGGGCTGGGGATATAGCTCAGTTGGTAGAGTGCTTGCCTTGTGTATATGAGGCCGAATTAGAATCCCAGCACCACAAGAAAAAAAAAATGTAGTTGACATAAGAGGCTATGACTACTACAGGAAGTAACCATCAAACATCCTTACCCATGTTACAATGAGACTTTCTTAGAAGTTTTCACTTACAGAAACAGTTTGTCTTTAAAAAAAAAAAAAAAAAAAAGCATCCCCAACGGCAGCTCGTCTGCCTTTAACTGGCATCAGCACCCGGACTACTAGTCAGTTGTTCTCCAGGACTGCCAACCACTCTTCCCATTTCCCCTAAGTCTCAAGACAACCAAACGAGCCCTATCAGAGAATGCGCTCTCCCTCTCTCTCTCTCTCTCCCTCTCTCTCTCTCCTCTCTCTCTCTCTCTCTCTCTCTCTCTCTCTCTCTCTCTCTCTCTCTCTCTCTCTCTCTCTCTCTCTCTCGTTTGGAGATAGAGTTTCTCTGTGTAGCCCTGGCCCTCAGAACTCAACGTAGAGATCCACCTGTCTCTGCCTCTCAAGTGCTGGGGATTATACACATGTGCCACCACTGCCCAGCAAGAAAGAGTCTTAATAAGAAGAACCTGAACTTTTAAAAGAAAAGTAACTTCTGTAAAGAAAACTTTGAAGCTTTCCCACAACAGAATGTGTTCCCAATATTTTTAGTCCCAGTATAAACAGCTACACTGAAAACGAATTTTTCAGTCAAGCATGATGGTGCAGTCCTATAGTCCCAGGAAACAAATCATCCTTGACCCTGCTTGGGGATGAGACCCCTTATCAAAAGGATAATAAAAAGGAAAATGAGCTGGGTGTTGGTGGCGCATACCTTTAATCCCAGTACTCGGGTGGAGAGGCTATCAGAACTCTGTGAGTGAGTTTGAGGCCAGCATGGTCTACAGAGTGAGTTACAGTACAGTCAGAGCTGTTAAATAGAAAACTGTCTTGAAAAAAAAAAAAAGAAAAAGAAACAAAAGTAAATATGCTGCCACTTGCCCGTGATCCCAGCACTTAGAAATATGAATTGAGACCAACCTCAAACAAACTAAAACTACAAAGAGCCAGTGGATACAGATTCCTGAGGTCTTAGAAATGACTTTCAAGTGTGAGTATCTGCAAACAGTATACTTGGAGACATTATTGTGTAGACATCGTCTTCATGGAGCACCTAGTATTTCCAGACAGACAGAGGTGGTGAAATGAGATCAGGCCCTGTCTCCTCTAACAGGTGATTCAAGTCTACACTTTAGAACTAGGCACATACAAAGAGATAACCCAGCAGACAGAGAACAGGTAACACCCCAGCAATACAGGTCACAGGATAAATTGTTCTACTTTCAGTACAACCCAAAAGGACTTATGATTACCCCACAACAGGAAATAAAACCAAGGCACCTTAGCAAGCTCAGCCCGGAGCTCTTCTTCCTCCACCTCTGTCAGGCCCTCTACAGCTGGGGTCCGGGGGACCACACCTGGGTCGACAGGGACATCAGTCATGAAATCAGACAGCACACCTTTGTTAGGAGAATTCAGGTTGATATCTGTCAGAGACAAAAAATGAAGTCAAGAAGTGTCAAGTAAGTTGTTACTCTACTAGAAAAATGCAAGAATAGAAGGAAATAGGTGGCCAAAAAAGGCAGGAGAACAATGGAAACTAGAAATACCTCTAAAAGCCTAAGATAATCTGGGTATTGGATGCAGAACAGCTACTTCTTGAGCACTTGAGATGCAAACTCAATACCACCTGCACTGCTGGAGTACAAGAAACACTAGCTAAGGCAGCCAAACCATAGTTCTCGTTTCCCTTGTGAAATACTACCTCCTACAGCAGGAAACCCTACTTCAAAGAAAGCAGTCCAATCTAATAAATCTTCGAATTTTGGTTTTTTTTTTTTTTTTGAGTAAAGAAAGTAAATATAGCGTTATTACTTTCCATTCAACTCAGGGAAGGCTAAAGGTTACATGCAGGGAATACATGCTAGTCATCCAGCCCCAGGAAGGAATTGGCAAAACAAAAATCACCTTTAATTCCATCCTTGATCCTCTCACAAACAGGAGACTGCCATACGTACAAAGATAGGAAAAAATACATTCTTCCACACACCTCTAATACTAGCTTCTTCAAATTCTTACAGTCACCATCTTTACTTAACATTAGCACATCTTCCTATCTGCACAAATATCTTGGAAGGGACCACATAAAGCAAGCCATTCTTATCGAGCATAGTGGCCTCACATCTATAATCCCAGCACCCAGAGGGCAGGCAGGCAAACCTCTGTGGGTTCAAGGCCAGCGTGGTCAAAAGCACAGAATAGAAAGGAAAACATCCTTAATTTGTGTCAACTACACAAATTCTAAAATCTACTAAATATAAATTGAAAACATTAAAAAACTAGATGTTCTACTCAGCAGTAGCTGGTAACATCTTTTTTTAAAAATTTTGTTTGTTTGTTTTTTCAAGACAAAGTTTTTCTAAAGTAGCTCTGGCTGTCTGTCTGGGATCTCACTCTGTAGATCTGACTGGCCTCAAGATCCACCTGCCTCTGTCTTCCTAATACTGGGATTAAAGGAGTGGCCACCATGGCCCAACTCTTTTTTTTTTTTAAGTAACTAACTTTGTTTCATGCAAGTAGCTTATGAAATTTTATTTATTTATGGAACAGGAGAGATTGCTCAGTGGCTAAGAGCACTTGTTGCTCTTCCAAAGACTTTAGTTCAATTCCCAGCACCCACACAGTAGCTCACAACCACCTGTCACTTCAGTTCCCAAGGGTCCAATGTCCTCTTCTGATAAGGTATACAGACATACACAGACAAAATACAAACCTAAGATAAAAATAAGTAAAATATTTTGATTTTAGATTTTGAGGCTAACCTGGTTACAGAGCTAAAGCCAGGACAGTCAGGGCTACACAGAGAAACCCTGTCTGGAAAAAACAAACAAAAAACATGTCTTCTCACATGACTCTTAACTTGTGTCAGGTTGACATGGAAACTAGCCAGCACACAAAGGAACCAAGTTTCATGTGAACCTGGCTGGGAAATGGTTGTGTTTACTATCTGTTGAGGATGCCAGTGGTTTCAAATTTGTGCTCTCTTCCTCTCCCCCCTCATCTCTTTGTTTTCCTTTTCATCCTGGTGCCAGGCTAGAACCTTGGTCTCACACCAACTAGGGAAAGGTTTTTACCACCATTGTGTAAATTATTTCCTCTGAAATGCAAAGACTCCATCCTGCAGGGAAAGCTACTTCAGCAAGAAGGCAAACAACTCAAAAGCTTCAGGAAATCCTTGAAACTAACTAGATTTACTAAGGCCCTCCCTGCCAGAATCAACAATAAAAGCTGAAAGTCCCTCAGAGACAAAAGAAACTTAGCTGCAAAGAAGATTCTCAGGGGAGAAAGGTTGCAAAGAAAACTCTTGAGACAAGGGCAGCTGCAGAAATCAGGACAAAGCTGGAAAAGATTTAGACTAACTGAGGCTCCTGGAAAGAAAACTCCATGAGAATGCCCAAAAGCTCAATGAATTTGCATACACCCATCAAAGTAGGAAAAAAATCCAGAGTGTCCAGCATGTATAAGAACCCAGAAATTCTGCCTGGGAGTCGGGGAAAGGAGATTCGCCTCTAATCCCAGCAATTTGGAATGCAGAGGCAGGTGGATCTCTGAGTTTGAGGCCAGCATGGTCTACAGAGCGACTTCCAGGACAGCCAAAGGAACACAGAGAAACTGTCTCAAAGAACAAAACAACAACAACAACAAAAACATTCTAATGCTTAGGTAATGTGTCGGTGCAGGTTAAACTGGAGAAAAGCTTTTTGAGTTTAGCTAATGTAAGCGTGAGTAAGCACCCCCACTTGTATACCATCTTCTTAAGATTTTAGTCTGAGCCTGAGCCACATTTCTCAGTGTCTATTTTGGCAACAGATCTGTTCTGGGTGTGCCCTGACTCACTCTACCCTTCTCCCATGAGGCAACCTCTTAAGTAACAGTGGCGTTACCACCCAAGGGACGCTGCTCTAAACACAAGGATGGTTGCACCGCCCCTTTCCCTGTAGAGAGCCGCCCACAACACCTCGGCTAGAGTCCAACACCAGAGGGGGTATTCCCAGGGGCCCGGCGAAAGATAGAGGGCCGTAAGCGGCGGGAGGCACAGGGAGAATGTCTGGAGTTAGCAAACTCTAGGAACCGGCAGGGCGCCGAGGAAGGCCGCTTCAGGGCGATCCCAGGGGACGCCCAGGCGCCGTGGCAAGACAGAACCCACACCACGACCATCAGGAGCCTTGAGGTCAAGGGCCTGTCGGCCGAAGAGAGGCCATGAATTGGACCCGCAGAGGCTGAAAGGACCGAGGGGCCGAGCCGCGACTGCCGGAATGCGACGCAGCCCATGCCCTTCTGCTGGTACCTTGGCTGGCGGAGTCCATATTCGGGTGACAGCTGGACCGTAGCTGGCGTCGGAGCGAGGATCGTAAGCCCTGCAGGAGCCAAGGTCTGAGTACTGGAACCTGGCAGCCGCGTACACGCGAGCCCGTGGAACTGTCGGGCCGCAGCAGTATTACGTAATCAGCGCCGCGCCGCCTTACTTCCGCTTGGGCTTGGACCCCGCCTTCTTCCCGTCCCTCGCTCAAGTGGCGGCCAATGAGAACGTCCTCTGGCCTTACGTAAGACTAATCATTCAATTTTAGAGCTCCAAACTACGGCGGAGCGGGAAGTAATTCTTCCAGGCTGGTTTAGCCAGTGAGATTCCTGGGTAAAAAGGCCAGAGCAGCCGAAGCTCGAGGGACGGTTCGTTGTTTTTTTTTTTTTTTTTCCACAGTGCGCTTCACCCCATCATGTCCTCGGCTACCCACGAGCCCCTCTACCGAGCACCTCGGCGGGTCAAACTCAGGCCTGTTCACCCCCCAGCCCGCAGTCAACCTCTCCCTGTCTCCGAGAATTTCTTTTAGTTTTTGATTTTGATTTTTGAGACAGCTGACTACATGGATAAAAATGACCTTGAATTTAACGACCCTCCAACCTCCACCTCCCTAGTGCTAGGATTACAGGAGTGAGCTATCACAGCCGATTTACACAGTACTGGGGAATCGAGAATCCAGAACTTAATGCATGCTAAGCAAGCACTCTACGAATTAAGTTGTATTTTCAGCCTCTTTATGAAGACATTTTTATTGTCTGGGGGTTGCAGTAAAAATAGAGAAAGCGCGATTCATCCCCTTGCCCTGCAGGCGCCGCTCTCTCCAGACGGAGGCGTCTGGTACTGGAAGAGTTCACAGAGCCCCGAACATAGCAGGGGCCGGTGGACCCTCCCAGTAACTGAAGCCCAGTCCTGTGCACGTACCCAAGTGTTTTCTCTCTTTTCACAGCGCTGGCGCCTCCTCCCAGTTTTCAGGTGAGCAAACTGAGGCTAAAGTAATTTTCCAAAGATCCCTCCAGAGTTTTGACGTTCTTGTGGTGTTAGTGTGTCAACACTAACGGGGGAAAGTTCCTCCAACTTCAGATGAGGGAGCTGTGACCACTGGGCAGCTGTCTACTCTCACGGTTTCTTTTGGCCTTTAGTTTCCTGGAAGAAAGGTCCTTAAATGATATCTCCCTCCCCCTTCCAGAACTGAGTCTCCTACAAAGTTGAACTTCCCTGTGAGCAGCTTTCTGGAAGCTTCCCATTGTCCCTCCCTTCTCTGGCTCTTCTCCCTACAGGTGTCTTCTTGCACAGGACTGGGTGCTTCACTGATTATGACAGTATCCTGTTCAGAGATATCCATTAATATATCTTCTCCATTTACTGTCTTGATTAACCCAGCCTGGTCGGCCACTGTCCACAGGGCTGGAAATGGCATGAACAGTCAGCAGTCAGTAGTCTCTACTCCATGTAATGAGTACAGGACAGATAGTGGTGAGCTGAAGACTTGCTCTGTTTTGCAGGGTTTTGTTTGTTTGTTCGTTTTGTTTTGTGGGGGTTGGAGGAGGTTGAGACAAGGTTTTTCTGTATAACGCTGTCCTGGAACTCCCTCCATAGAACAGGCTGTCCTCAAACTCACAGAGATCCATCTGCCCATCTCCCAAATGCTGGGATTAAAGGCATGTACCACCATGCCCATCTTCTCCTTTTCATTCTTTTTTTTTTTTTTTTTTTGGTTTTTCGAGACAGAGTTTCTCTGTGTTGCTTTGGAGCCTATCCTGGAACTAGCTCTTGTAAACCAGGCTGGTCTCAAACTCACAGAGATCCGCCTGCCTCTGCTTCCCAAGTACTGGGATTAAAGGCATGCGCCGCCACCACCACCTTGCTGCTTTTCATCCTTGAGCCATGAACAAGGCCCAGACCTAACCCAGGTCTGGCCCAAGTAACAAGCAATCATTCAGGATCTCTGGGATCCAGGCTACCCTGTGGGCTATTACTCTAAGTCTATGGCCCCTCTATGGATCTCTCTTCATAGAAGGGAAATGAGAAGGGGGCACTGTAACTGCTGAGATCTGCTAGCAAGGAGGTCCTACAAGTGTCAGTAGTGGCTGGTACTCTCCTTACTTTCTTTTCTTTTTTCTTTTCTCTCTCTCTCTCTCTCTCTCTCTCTCTTTTCGCTTTTACAAATAGGGTTTCTCTGTTTAGCTTCAGCTGTCCTGGAACTCATTCTGTAGAGTGGACTGGCCCGGAAACTCACAGGGATCTGCCTGCCTCTGTCTCTTGAGTGCTGGGATTAAAGGCATGTGCCACCACCGCCCAGCTAGTATTTTCCTTTCACTAGGAACTACTTGAATATTTGGCTGGTGTCCTCTTCTCAGGAGCTACCCTGCAGTCCAAGCCATGTGAAAGGCACCTCCTGTAGCCCCACAGCCTCCCTGGCCTCCCACTATCAGACATCACATTACCAAAAAATTGGGTCAGGTTTCACCTTTACATTCCTTCAAGAACTAGACACAGGCATTCATGTGTGGGAGGAAGAGAAAGGAGAGAAGTGGCGGAGAACAGAAAAAAAAAGTGAAGACAAGTACAGTCCAATATATACTTGCCCACTCTCTCAGACACCAAAATCCCCAGTCGGGCCAGCTTTTCTGTAGGGGTGTAAGGAGAGGAACAGTTGATGGGAGCTGAAAAGTGTAAACTGCCCAAATTCGTGAGTCCCATAAACAATAGCTACAGTCCCCAGGGCAATTGAAAGTCCTCAGGCTCCAGTGGGCTGCAGTGTGTTGCCTCCAAGTTTTTGAGGTGCTTGCGTGCTAGGAACAGTGCAAGCTGCCGGCGCCGCCGGGCACTCAGGCCTTGACCCACAAGCCAGGGGAAAGTAGGTCCGTGTGGTCCCCAGGCCTCAGCATCATCCATCTCCTCCTGGCGGCGCTCACGATAAGAACGCAGCATTGCCAGACACCACTCCTCATCAACGCGGTAGCGCGCGTAGAATGCAGCTTCTTGAGCCAAGTTGCTGGTGCGCAGCCAACGGGTTACCACCGTGCTGCCCTCGCGGGCCATCACGGACGGGTATCGGTGCTGTAGCAGGCGCAGGAGCAGCTCATTGCCACGGTTACCTTCCACATCGCCTTCCCCTGGACAGGATGGCAGAGTAGCTACATGGTTCGAGGTGCTGACAACATCATCTTGGGTGCGTCTAAGCAACAGAACTGGGCCTGGGTAGCAGCATAACTGCTCAGCAACATTGAGATTGAAGTGCTCCCTTACAGTACGTACCACCAATCCTTTCCAACTGTGGGGCATGACCTTCAACGCTAGTGGCACCAGATCATCAAAGGTGGCATCCAACACCAGTGCACCTAGTTCTGGGTAAGTCATAGCGGCCCAGGTGGCTGTGAAGCCTCCAATAGACCAGCCATAAACCACAACGTGTGCTGGCGGGAAGTTCAGGCGGTGCAATGCATACTTGATGACCACATCCATTGCATTTGCATCATGTTGAGGAAAAGGTGCTCCTGTGCTGCCCCCGAAACCAGGGTGGTTCCAACCTAACACTGAGTATCCAGCCTCCAGAGGTGCGGACAGACAGCCCATCTCGTAGAAGCCAGCATTGCCTTCACAACATATAACCAGTCGCAGGCCACGGCCATGGCTGCCTGGACGCTTGCGACGATCCATGAACATCGTGTCAATCTCATTGCCATCGCAAGCCACCAGCTTGGCACGCCGCCCACGGTAGCGCTCCACTAGGCGTTCTTGGCCCTGCTGCAGAAGAGGCAATAGCGCGCGCGTCATCAAAAACATAGATCCAGGGTATACAAGCCAGCGGCCCAGGGAGTGGGCCAGCGCATAGCTGGCGAGTTGGCTGGGCAGCTCACGGATCTGCTGAAGGAGGCACTGTGCTTGGCTCCGAGCCCCACGTGGAGACCTTGTGAGTGTGTCCGCGCCCAGTGCTGCATCATGTAGCAGCCACACACCTGCTGCAGCTGCAGCACATGTCAAGGCTCGATGACTGCTGCCAGAGCCGGAGGCATGCACGTCATCCCAGCGGAAGTCCACCGGCCAGCCGCGGAAATTGTAAGTGTAGTTTGCTGTCAAGTAGATCTTGAACACGTGCACTAGTGCCTTCACAAAGCAGATGACACACATGGGCAGTGAAGCTTTGCCCTGTTCCTGCTAGCCCCAAGGCCAGAAGGCCCAGTCCAGGTAGTGAAATAGCAGCAGGAGACGCAGGCCGGGCCCAGCCGGCGGCTGCGGGAGCAGGCGCCAAGCACGGCTTTCTGTTGGCATTACTCCTCTTGGTTAGCCCCAATGGCCATTGTGACCTGTGCCTTCCAGGGCTAAGGGAAATCTGTATCACTCTCAGTTTTGTGAGTCATTGTTGCTGGGGAAAGTGACACTCGGGTAATGGGCTCATAAAGGGTTTTAAGGCTTGGTGTATCTCAGGTTCTGTTCCACACCCTGGGACAAAACCTCAAGACCTCACAGGAGCTGCCTACCATGTTTCTAGCACCTTTAGCTTCTCCCGCCTCCTCCACTGAAGATAGGAAACCAAAAAGGCCAGAAATGAACAGCCTTGACTTCTTCCTTTTGAGGGGAAGAGAGAATTAAGCAAAAGGGATTTCCCACACCTGGGCCAAACTTCTTGTGGGTAACACACTCTTAACCCCTCCTTAGACCTTGGGGTTTGTTGGTTTACATTTCCCTGCAAATATCTAGGTTAGAACAGAGCTGCCATTGGAGTTAGGTGTGTTTTCTCATAGTCTTACGCCTGCAGCTCCACACTTACCTTCCCTGGAAGGAGCTGAGTGTGGATTAGGAACATTTTCCCACAACACACATACACTCACTCACATACACACATACACACACACACTCATACACACATACATACACACATACACTCATATAAACACACACATACATACATACACACACACTCAAATACACACACACTCATACACACACACAAATACTCATACACACATACATCCACACTTACACATACACACACTCATACACACACACTCACACATACATACACACACTTACCACACACACCTTTTCTGAATCCTCCTTTCATTGGGCCAACAGCAGCCATCACCTCCAGGTGGGTCCTGCCTAGCTGTGGTTCCTCTTTTTCAACCCCAGGTTGAGCATCTCTCTCCCACTTGAACCAACCCACAAACTGTGCCTTCCTCTTTTCTAGAGGGTTCTTGTGGGTGAGTTCCCCTTTTTCTCCTACACTGAAGGTGGCCAACCCACCTGAGGGCCAGATTGAGCTGGGGAGAGCATACCGCAGTGCTCAGGAACTCTTAGCGGACAAATGCAAAAAGCACAGAAATTCAGTCAGATCCTCTGAGCCCAGGAGCCAGGACTCCTTGAGAGACCTCAGGCTTTTAAGGACAGTGGTTTTCTGGCCTAAGCGACCATTCTCTGCTCTCCTGTTCTACTTTTGAATTAAGGCACTGACCGCCCAAGGCAACTCTATAGCTTCAGGATTCAGCTGAAGAATGTCGTTGTTCATAAAACAGAGGAGTAGAACTATCAATAAAATTCCCATCCCTATGTCAAACACAGATAAAATGCCTAATATCCTCTCAAAGTTCAACTTAAACAACAAAATTGTACGTGTCTCTCTCTCTGTGGGTGTGGGCGTGTCTGTGTTTGTGTGTGTTTTTGAGATAGGGCCTCAATGTGTAGTTCCAACTAGCTTCAAGTCACAGTCCTCCTGTCTCAGGTGTGAGTGCTGGGGTTCTAGCTGTGGTCCCCATGACATTACTTTCAAGACAGTATTTACTAAAACACATGAGGTAGTCAACACTTCTTTGTAAAACTAGACTTTCTGTTCAATGATTTTGCCCAGCTATTGGCTCATATAAGTGTTCTGAGTATACTTAAAATAGGCTGGACAACACTATGGTGCTCAGTATATTAGATGCATTAAACACATTTTTAAAAATTTATTTGTTGTGTGTTTGTATGTTTTGGGGCATGCACATGTTACTCCATCTTCAGACAACTCATGGACATTGGTGCCCTTCTTCTACCATCTATGTCCTGGGGATTGAACTCAGATTGTCAAATTTAGCAGCAAGCACCTGTACCTTAGGAGCCTTCATGTCAGCCCTTAAGTAAATTATTTTTTAATAAAACTTTTTGTTTTATAAGCTTGGTATGGTGGCACACATCTTTAATCCTAGAACTAGGGAGACAGAGGCAGATAAATCTCTAAGTTCAAGGCCACCCTAGTATACTGAATTCCAGAACAGCCAGGGCTACACAGAGAAACCCAGGCTTGAAAAACAAAACAAAACTGGGGCTCATATTTAATCCCAGCCCTAGGAGGCAGAGGCAGAGGCAAGCAGATTTCTGTGAGTTCGAGGCCAGCCTAGTCTACAAGAGCTAGTTCCAGGACAGGCTCCAAAGCTACAGAGAGACCCTCTAACTCACACAGTGGTGCTCACCTATATCCCCGGACTTAGGAGAGTGAGACAATATTGCTGAAAGTTCCAGGTCAGCCAGGAGCATACAAGGAGACCCTTGCCACCACTTCCCTTAAAAAAGAAAAGAAAAGAAAAAAGAATACTTGCAACTTATAGTGTATCTAAAGATACCTGTGTTTTTTGTTTTTTATAATTAAGCATCCCATCCTAACACAGGGTTCCCTCTTTTATCTTTTTTATTATTTATCCATTTTTATTTTGTATACTTTGGCGTTCTGCCTGCAGATCTGTGAAGGCATCAGATACCCTGGAACAGGAGTTGCAGACAGTTGTGAGCTGCCATGTGGGTGCTGGGAATTGAACTCAGGTTCTTTGGAAGAGCAACCAATGCTCTAAACCACTGAGCCATCTCTCCAGCCCAAGATACCTGTGTTTTAAAGTTATCTAAAGTTTTTTTCATGTTTTGTTTTCAAGACAAAAGATTCTCTGTGTAGCCTTGACTGTCCTGAAACTTACTCTATAGATCAGGCTGACCTCGAACTCAGAAATTCGCCTGCCTGTGAGTGCTAGGATTAAGGGCACATGCCACAATCACAGGTTCTGAAGTTCTTTTTAATGACATGTCCTGTTTTTAGGTTTGTTTTTCTAAATCTGGCAATTCTGCCCCAGATGCATATGCATCCAGCTCCAAGTCCCAGATTCTCCTGACTCTCCGGTTTTTGTTCCAGTTGGGTTTTTCTGCTCACTGGTCAGGTTCAGGTTCTTCAGTCTCCTTTCCGTAGGTCCTGGGGTATACCTCACCTTTGGTCAAGGAATTGACAGTACCCTGAAGATATTCATGGTTCTTACAGTCCTGAAATGTCCACCTCTGGCCCTGAAGGGAAAGAAAGAAGGTTAGGGATGAAGGTAGAAACTTTAGGGAGGATGGGCATTCACTCTCTAGAAATTTTTTATAAGCTGATGTTACCTGCCTTGAGGAGCAAGGCATCAGTTTCATTTTGTATGAGATACAGTAGCGACTTCCATAGCAGAAGAGAGAACAAATGTCCCTTCCTCTTCAACCCAGGTACAAGCGACTGGCAAAGAAGGCTCTTGGAGAATTTGGAAGCTGCAAACTCTGCAGATAGAGTAGCCTCAGTGGCACCGGCAGTATCCTGAAAGGCTGTATGCATGGCACATGGAAACACTGCCTCTTGTTTATTCCTGAACGCAATCTCTCAGCTTGATCTGCTCTGAGACTTTCAGAAACAGGGTATTCTCCTGCCAAGCCCATATGCCCTTAGCTTGCCCCTGTAAAGAGAAGGAAGAGATAGGGAGATCCAGAGACCAGATTTTGGGAGGCAGAGGTCAGTGGACTGGAGCCACTAATCCCAAGGGTTTCCAGGCAGTAGTGTATGTCTGGCCTGGTCCTTGACCCCACCAGTTCACAGGAGCCCAACTGTCCCAGAACTACCAACTCTGTTCAGAGAAGGAAGCATGTGACAAAATTGAAGTTGTCCTCTGCTGAAGAACCCCCACCGTCACCCCTACTGGACCCACTGCTGCAGTAGCAACAGCAGCAGCAAGCAGAATCCTTTTGCCTTCAGCCCCCTCTGTTTACAGCAGTGTAACAGGGTGGGGGATGGGGGGCCGGACTCTGTGTCCCTGCTTATCAGTTTGTGGAAGAATCCTTGTCACTCATTCCTTCGAAGAAGACCTCTGAGTATGCACCATACCCCCACCCCCCACCACCACTGGGTCTTGCTAGTCCAGGATGTCCCCCTTCCCCCACTGAGGCACTGTTTCCTCTCTGGCCAGTTCTGTTCACCTCCCTAGAGGCTCTTGATTTATGCTGTTGAGTCTGAAAAGCTACCCTTGGAGAAGGAAAGGAAAGAGAGAAAACCAGTCCCAGAGGCCAGAAGGGCTGGAGCCAGGATCAGAGCCCCTTGGAAGAGGTTATTTAGCTCAGCACTAGCTGACCATGGCAGCACCCTGGCTTTGGGAAAGTTGAAGCTGCCTTCAGGAAAAGAAGCTGACTTTGTACAAATGCCTCTGCTCAGGAAATGGGGTGCAGGGAAGGTGGGGGTGGTTTGGAGTCCAAGGACAGGAGGGGACTCTTCCTGGCGGATAAGGGGTCAAGAGAAGGGGCGGAAATGGCCAAGACAGCTGCTGAACATCTGGAGTCACAGAGAATCAATTATCCAGCGCCCTGAAGGACAGTGGGGTGGGTGGAGAACCCTCTCTTTCCTGGCTCTTTGAAGAGCTGCTCCATTGTCTCTGCCTGGCCCAGGATGAAGGATCTGGTGTGCTGTCCCTCCCCAGAGGGCTCTAACACCCATCTTGGGGTGATAAAGCCACAAATTATCCCTTCTGAACCTTCAGTCACAGTGAAACCCTATAGCCACATTGGACACCTTTTGAGCAACATATCTTACAATGAAGAAGAAGAAATGAGAGCCTAAACCCCACCAGAGACTGAAGGGAAGACATACTAATTCTTGCCCAGTACTGCTGTGGACACCCCCTGTATTACCTGACCTGAGGGAGTGGGCCAGTGGGAACAGGCCAGTGTCAGAGCCTTGACAGTAGTGAGGAGACTGACCATGCTGTTTCCCACAGATTTCAGGGTGGGATCAGATGTAGTCAGGGTACCCTGGGCAATTTGTACCCTTTCTACAAACTGTGAGACTGAGCAGTCTCTCCATGGGATTCTAGCCGAGGTTGGTCTCTGGGTTCTCAGATACAATTTGAAGGGTCGTTGTGTGGTTAGTGGGCAGTTTCACTCCTGGCTTATAAATCTCAAAGCAAAGATTTTAGCTATTCTACTATGGAAATATCCAGAGTTTTATATAAAGTGAGTTTTAATATTGTTAACCAATATTTAACCCTATCCCAACCCCTTTTTTCTTTTGATAGAATTTCATGTATCCCAGACTGGTCCAGATCTTGCTATGTAGCTGAAGATAACGCTGAAGTTTTGATAGCTCCGCTTCTGCTTCCCAAGTGCTGGGATTATGATTACAGATGTGTACCACCATACTCTTCTTATGCAGTGGGAAGCAAACTAAGAGTTTTCTGCACAGTAAGCAAGCAGAACATTGAGCCATACCTACAGCCTCTTATTTTGTTATTTCTGCTTACAGAAATAAGTTTAGTGTACACAGTAGCTTGCTTTTCATTTATTTAGTTATTTATTTATTTATTATGTATACAATGTTCTGTCTGTGTGTATGCCTAAAGGCCAGAAGAGGGCACCAGATTTCATTACAGATGGTTGTGAGCCACCATGTGGTCGCTGGGAATTGAACTCAGGACCTTTGGAAGAGCAGGCAATGCTCTTAACCGCTGAGTAATCTCTCCAGCCCGTAGCTTGCTTTCTTGGCAACGTATTATAAGCTTCACTGCTGCTGGAGCAAGCTGTGTAAAACTGTCCTGGGTATTCTGATAATGTACCAGTGAAAGACCAGGATAAATCCAGACCCCCCTAAAAGGAAGAGTAGAGCCAAAAATCTAGGTTAGCCGGTTCAGTGATTTTGTTCCAGGAACTGGCTGACCACAAAGTTAGATTATAATCTTGAGAACAATCTTGAGAAACGGGGAGTTACCCCCTTGTGAGTATCACTGGTATTTTTGGAATCTTCCTATGACGCCCTCCCTACCCCCTTTGGGTTGTGGTTTCTTCCCTTAAATACCCCTTCTCCCAGCTACTTGGGGTCAAACTCCTCTACCCCTGCATGGGATATGAGTCTCGGCTCCAGGGCGCTGGCTCCTGTCAATAAACCTCATGTGATTACAGCAAGGACTGTCTCTCGTGAGTTCTTGGGGGGTCGTGTTATCCCGAGATTTGAGTGAGAGTCTCCCAACTCCGGGGGTCTTTCACCAGGTGTCCCCAAGAGTCTTCTAAAGCTTTCCCCTCTGCAAATGTGGCTACAATGTGTACAGGGACATTGTTTTCCAAGGACCCTTTCTTCTTTTTTGTTTGTTTGTTTGTTTTTATTTTTATTTATTTATTTATTTATTTATTTATTTATTTATTTATTTTTGGTTTTTGAGACGGGGTTTTCTTGTAGCTTTTGAGCCTGTCCTAGAACTAGCTCTTGTAGACCAGGCTGGCCTCAAATTCACAGAGATCCACCTGCCTCTGCCTCCCGAGTGCTGGGATTAAAGGCGTGCATCACCACCGCCAGGTAGAAGTCCTTCTGAACTAGTGAGTCTTTCCCACTCTGGAAAAGAACTTGTACAAGAAAGCTCTACACCACCTAGGCAGCTCTAGACTTTTACGGTGTCTATCCTATGGGATACAGTCATGACCATTGACAAGAACAGCAGCAGAAGCCATTCTGCCCTGTCAGTCAGAAGCCCGTAGGGATCCTTCCCCTGTAGACACCTGTGATACCTTCCTGGTGATCAGATAGAAACTATGGTCTGGACTTAGATCATCAGCCCTGGGTCTTGGGAAAGGGAGGCAATAAAGCTAGAGAGAGAGAGAGAGAGAGAGAGAGAGAGAGAGAGAGAGAATAGGTTAAAAGATGATTTATGAGTGTCAGTTCTCTTTTACCATGTGAGACCCAGGGATTAAACTCAGGCCATCAGGATTATTAGCAAGCAC